TAACTTTGTGATATTGGGCTATATAAATAAACATTGATTGATTGATTTTCATCATTTACAGGTAAGATGACCAATGAGCCCCCAACATGCTCTTTAGTTTTCCATCCCTCAGCCCCTTCATACCTGCATCTTCTCGCTCTCAGAGTTCAGAGCCTCCTGCAGCTCCTTCAGTTCTCTGTCCTGGTGTTCCACTCGCTGTTTGTAGCGCTGAGCTTCTTCATCAGACGCCTCACACTGAGCCATAGCGATCTCTTTATCACGCCGAACAAACCTGCAAGACACACTCGCTTCAAACTCCATCCAAAAGCAGATCTAGAGGTAAAAGTTTGTCTTTAAGACTTTCAAACCAGTATTTTAGCTGTACTTTCATTGTGTGTTTTTTTTTCAATAAAAGAGATCAAATGTACAAGAAGTTTTATAAAGCGTAATAAAATAGGAACTATTTTCCCTTAAATGTCTCCAATAGCAAGAACAGGACCAGTAACAAAATGTTTTTTTTTTTGATTTTAAGGAATGCTCATATGCAACAAAATAAAATGCAGTGAAACTAAATGCATTAATTAACAATCCAAAAAAATCTGAAAAAGAAGGGGAAAAGAACAACTTCTATGATACAGTTAACAGAAAAAATATACATTATCAATATTATATTAATTATCCAATCTAACCGGAGGGTCATTAGTAATGCAATGAAACCTAATTGGGCCCCGGGCCTGTTTTATCCCGGGTTTATACTGGTCCCTAATGAGCTCACACTACGACATTAGGATTGATAATGGAGATTGTAAAGTGTTTCCAGTGTTATCAGTCCTTCCAACAGCACAGTGCTGCATTACCTGAGTATTTCCAGGATCTGCTCGGTGGTCTTCCCCTCCTCACTGAAGGACAGGTCGAGCTGCTGCCGGGGCGTCTGCAGCCCACGACTCCTGGTGGCCATCTCATCCATCTGCTGGTGTAGGAGGGCGTTCTGCTTCCCCAATTCCTCACAGCGACGCCTCTGATTGGACAGATCCTCCTGAAGGAGAGTCAAAGTATTAGGACCAATCAGAAACAATCCTACAGCAGAGCTTCCAAAGGAGGCTGTAAGACACTATGGAATATTGGAAGGGCAACAGGAAAAAACATTATATTCAGGGATGCTAACCCATCAGGTATGAAAAAGCTGACAAGGATCCGAACCCCCCCCACTAAGTACATTTTTGACAGTGGTAGAAAGTAACTAAGTACATTTACTAAAAAATTTGAGATACTTGTACATTACTTGAGTATTTAAATGTTTTGCTACTTTGTACTTCTACAATTCAGAGGTACATGGTGTACTTGTACTCCACTACAGATGTAGCACTTCATTTCAGACTCCAGCTTACAGCTTCCTGCCTACGACCTGCCTAAGACCAGTATAGAGGAATGTTAAGCCCTCCCACTATTTTCCAAGAGGGCGTTGCCAGATCTTCAATTTCAGGTTTTAACCAGGAGATAGCGCTTCATTGACAAATACAGAAAGACAAGTTTCATGGACTTTCAGTTGTGTTTTGAAGAGCATTTGAACACATCAATATTTTAGATCAACTAAAGTATATCTAATCTTGTAATTCAATAATATATAGTCTTTATATATTAAATAATCACAATGTAAATGTTTACATTACACTTCTTTATTTGTTATGCTCATACTTTAACATTTACAATCGTTTGTCTTAATATGCAGTATATTTTTTGTATATTTTTGTGTTTGCTTCCTCCTGCTCCCTTTCGGACACATACTGTATGATTTATTATTATTATTAATATGAAGATATTATTAAGATAAGATGTTACTTTATTGATTGAACATTTTAGTTTAGAATGTGCTGTCCCACGGTAATTCAGAAGGCTCACAGGTCACATTCCGACCATTATTTAAAACAATAGGNAATATTTTAGATCAACTAAAGTATATCTAATCTTGTAATTCAATAATATATAGTCTTTATATATTAAATAATCATAATAATAATGTAAATCTTTACATTACACTTCTTTATTTGTTATGCTCATACTTTTACCTTTACAATCGTTTGCTTTAATATGCAGTATATTTTTTGTATATTTTTGTGTTTGCTTCCTCATGCTCCCTTTCGGACACATACTGTATGATTTATTATTATTATTAATATGAAGATATCATTAAGATAAGATACGATGTTACTTTATTGATTGAACATTTTAGTTTAGAATGTGCTGTCCCACGGTAATTCAGAAGGCTCACAGGTCACATTCCGACCATTATTTAAAACAATAGGTGCTTTCACACCGTCGACAGCTCTGTGGCTGAATGGCCAGCGATTAGGTGTGGCGCATTTATCATAGGTGATCAGAGCTAACTGCCTGCCGTCAGATTTCATTTAAAAAACAGATCTGATTTTAAGACTATTTCTGCGCTCACAAAGAATGATAAGAATAAGAATAATGCGTATTGAACTGGTTTAATTAATTAGTGAGTTTACACTAGAACCGCCAATCGGGTCAATTTGTGTGATGTGTGTTGTGTGTGTGCAATGTAACTTTTTTTCAATAAAATATTAAAGTCTCCCAGTCCGTGACTTTTCCTGAAAGTGTGTTATGTAGCACCCTATGTTGTTAAAAATTGCATTCTAATAGCGGGATTTGAGGGGTTTAGGTAGGATACAAAAACCTCTGGCGGTTCCAGTGTTAAGGTAATTAGGTACAGTAGAAGCCCTTTTTTATCAGTAACGAATTTAGCAGTTGAACATAAAAGTCAACTAACTGAGGGTCACTTGCAATGACAGTGTTGTGTCTAACTGTAAGCTTGTCACTCAGAGTAACCTACAGTGTTAATTTAAAAAAATAAAATACTTTGGGGACAGGGATGATACTCATATATGGCACTTCAAAGGTCTTTTATTTTTTAAACTGTAAACATCAGAATGCCTGATTTTTTTCTGAGTGACGACATGGTGTGTCCTGCTATCACCTGGAGTGAGATGGATCTATGAACTGGACAATCTTTGTTTTATTCTCATCCAAAAGAACAGGGATGATAGCTCATATACTGAACTTCAAAGTCCTTTATTTTGTAACTCTACATCAGAATGTCCTGATTTTCTTCTGAGTGAAATAGATGCGGAATGTCCTGCTATAACCCCTGGAGTTGAGATGGATCTATGATACTGGACCAGTTTTTTGTTTTATTCTCATCTAAAAACAGGGATGATAGCTCATACAATAGTGAGATTTCAAAGGCTTTTAGTTTTGAAACTCTACATCAGAATGTCCTGATTTTTTCTGAGTGACTAATGGGATGTCCTGCTATCACCTGAAGTGAAATGATCTTTGATACAAAACAGTTTTTGTTTATTCTCATCTAAACGACATAAAAGGGGATGATTTTTTTTTACTCTACCGTAATGCCATAGGATATTCGCGCACCGCATACTCACGTGAGGGCTGGCTTGAGACTAGCCCCGACGCAGCCCCTGGTTTGTTCTGGCCCTAGACCACGCCGCGGGGCCATTACATCACCAGCAGTCCCAATTTTAAGGGGTAATTTTCTCCCAAAAAAAAATATGTTTACTCCACTATACTCAGAACAGCCCCACACAAAATATTTTCCACCAGCCGCCACTGCGGCTGTAGACATCCAGCGTACTGTATCTGACTTATTGTCACATGAGGTCCAGTGTGGAACCCCACTGCACCCCCTGGTGGATCAATGAATCCATTGCAGCTGGCTTTCATTATAATTACATTTTATCTATCACGGGGGCGGGTCTCAAGTCAACTGGAGGTTGTTCCCCTTGAGCCGAGGGCAGATCACGTACCAATCACGGCCCTCGCGTTCAAACTGTCTGGAAATGAATCGCTACCATCTGTATGAAGCATTTTAGCTAAAAGAAACCACAAGAGTAATACCAAGGCGTTCTGAATTGGCTGCAGCGAAAAAATGCTACTAATGCTAACGGCGACTTTTGGTCACAGCACTCACGTTAGCAATGCCTTATTACTTATCGGTCACTGCACAAAACAAGATATTCCGATTTTTTACTGATAAACCTTTTTTTTTTTTACTGATAAACACCATCAATAATTTATGGCAATATACTCGGCTATGAATTTTGCCGTCCAGGCCCTTGTACTTTCAGATGTGCTTCGTTTGCTTCTCTACTTAAGTCTGAATGGTAATGTTTAGTGGATTTGGGAACTGCCCATCGACTCCTATTGGATGTAATGGTTAAGAAAAGGTGTAAGTCAACCAAGATTCGACAATGGGTTCCAGAGATATGGGTCTGCGTATAAGTATGAAGAAATGCCAGCCAGCGTAGCATTTTACGCAGTTTCAGACTTTCTTATTGTTTACTACGTAAGGAAGCAGGAATTGCAGGAACCCAGAGCGCACGGAGCACAGTAGCGGACAGAGATAACGGAATTGCAGTTTTTATTGCTTGTAGATTATCAAACATTTCAAAGGGGACACAGCCCATTGGATATTAACCTAACGGATTTAACTACATCATCGTTGGTTATCGTTTTAATACCCATTGAAGGACAGTTAGACCAAGACAAAGACGAAGGTAGCCATGGGTGTAGCATTGTTTAGCTTACCTACTGTCAGCGCCACCTTGTTTTGGATTTACGTTTTTGATGATTTTTTTACAACAGTTTTGTATTTTGATGGAGTGAATACCTATAGTGAATAATTCAAAGTAATAAAATGATTTTTTAAGCAGTGAAAAGGTCAAATCGGAACTGATTGTTCCCAAATTACCCAGAGGTGAGTCGCGCTGCACTTATTTTTGTCTAAAGCCTCTCTAAAAAGGCAATTTCCTTGTTTTTGCATCAATCTTGATACAGGGTACTTATTATATGTTATTAGTCTTGGATTTCCTAAGCTTTTAGTCTACTACCCATTCATTCAAGGGTGGTTTTCACTATAGACTAATGGGGGTTTTCTTTAGGCGGCATCTAGAATTACAATGTTTTTACTAATTTCCATCTGAATTTTACTTTAAATAGAAAACATCTATATTCGATTCTGACACTTCTACAATCCACTCACAGATGTAACCTTGCTTTGAGAAAAATATTATTAATGTACCCCTTTTAGAAGTTACAGGATATAGTCTTGCTGTGGTTTTGGCATTGTTGGAGCTGAAACCCTGAAAATAGGCTCAGGGCTTAAGAGGTTAAGAGTGCCTACCATAGCAAAATAGGGTGGCAAAGTAAAAGTCAATGATAGAAATATAGAATAGAAAATGGTCAAGAAGATACTGTATCTCTACAATAAAACAGTTTAGTGGCAGAACGTCCAAGATGCCAAAAACAGACAAACGAATACAGGGCTTTATTTAAACAATTAAAGGAGTTTAAGGTCGTCTTTTGAATAGAAAAAAAACTTTATTGCATAGTTTCACCCTTTGCTCACAATCACCTCTCCCTGAACTTTTACTAACTACGAAGTCTGATTAAGGGTTGTTTATATTCACATCATTAATCAGCAATTCTGCAAAGAAACCAAAAAAAAAAAAAAACTCAAAATAATGTAGGTGGGAGTAAAAATACCCAGGTCCTAACCTCTCGCAACCTGGGTAGGTTGAT